CAAATGCAAAAAATTTTGTTGTTTCTGTATAGAAACATTGCTAAGATTCAGCTGATCCATAACTTCAAAACAGCAAAACACAGCCAAAGTAACATGGCTGTGTTTTGGGGTTTGGGTTTTTTTTTTCGTCACATTCATTTGCACCAGAAGTAATATACAAGTGAAAGTCTGCAAGAATAATATGTTCAATTACACACTTTTTTCAATGGCTACCAGGTAAGAATGAAAAACAACAACTACCAAGGATTTGACAAGAGGGAGAGGAGCAATTGTCTTTCTTCCCATCCTAATTCCTAACAGGAAGTTTTCATTCATCTCCTTTAGTCAGTCATTAATCTCGGAGAGTATGCTAAACACCGCTATAAGCTTACCAGGCCTCAAATGTGGTAAGCAAAGATGAGTCAATAGCTTATGAAAAAAGTACTCATTACCATTCTCACACTGGCAATATATTCTTGGAGGAGAAAAAGAATGAACGATTAATATCTCCTACTAGCTGTCCTAGAGAAAAGGTTACAGAGGCAAAGATATCGTTACTTTGGGCTTCTAAGAATATTTTAATTAATTCAGCAGAATGACTGTTAAAACCAAAGCATATAGGGTAGGGTGAAGCTTCAACCAACCAAACAAAAAAAATCGCAAGATCGTAATCTTCCTTCAGCCTGAGGTCTTGCTCCTTCCCAAGGATTATACACGTCTAGTACGTATCTAAATGTGGCAGCAACTGTTTATTCTTATACGCCCAGAATTAATCTTGAAGAGCTTCAATGGCTGTATCCCAGGATTCTATCCAGAAATGAGAGTAAAATTCATCTCTGTGTCAGCTTAATGCTATGTCAAGAATTAAGTTAACGAACACAACCTGTAGATGTCAAAATTTCTGCACACCACTCATCTCCAACTTTTTTTTTTTTACATTACCGATGTAAAAGCAATACAGTCCGATCAACTTAGCCACCGAATAACAAACAACGTAACACAAAGATATCCAAATTAGCAGTCTACCCCCAAATGCCTGCCTTTTCTTTCCTCTCCAAAATAACATCAGAATGCATGGAAGCTATGGAGAGGGCTCTTCTAAACAAAAGACAAACTTGAAATGTTTAGTACAAGATACTAGTGGGAGGAATCTTATTGCAGTCTTCCTAAATTTGAATTTGTTCTCAGAACGAATTAGCGCCCACACCTTTAATGAGTTCTCATTATCGCTGTAATTACTTATGTCATTAATCAAGTTCCAGAAAACACTCTAGCCTATTTAACTCTACAGACTATATACCTAAGTGATACACAAATGAAAATAAAGCAGAAAATGGTTCTGGAGAAGAAGAATCAGGTGCAGGGCTCTGGTCCATAGGGGGAAGTGTGTGCGTGTGTGCATGTGGAGGAGGTAAAAGGAGGAAAGCAACAAAGAGTCTGCAGTTCCACAGGGACACCCATATTTACTTACGGCTAAGCTCCTAAGTGCTTCCTGCAGAAAAAGGAGCAGCATGAATTTCACTTTCTTCACTGCTATGCTTTAGGAAGGAATAAGGCTCAATAAGATAAGAAAGCTTGTAAACAAGCCCTTCAAGTTCTTTCATCTTCAGTTCCACTTGGGAGGAAGTGTTCTTTGCTGTTTTTTTGGTTTTTGTTTTTGAAAATATGCATTAGCTATAACATATACATTATGTTGTGCATATCTATATCATTGCATACATAAGCATGTGGGTGTATGCATATATATATTCTAATAATTTATTTAAAAAATACTTGTAGGTATTAGAAGTTAAACTGACTAACCACCCAAAAAGAAAGAATATTTCTTTTCACATCCTCCAGAAAATTGAAAAAACTATCACTTAAAACATAAATGCTACCTTCACAAAGGGGATGAATTGACAAGCTTCAGTCAAAATCTGACAACACTATGGTTTAAGAATGATATGCATATACTGTTTTAACTACTTAGCAAAATACCCCAACAAAACAACAACGAACAAACCAAGCTGCAAATTCTGAACTGAATTTAATTAATTTCAAGCTATATCTTCAGGAATATGTTCTTTGGTTTGCTTGGCTACAGTTGGACCTTATTTGTTCCATGAGTTTGAGACTGACAACACATTTCACTGTGTTTTCCATAAAAGCCTCTGATACTGCAGGTTTCTGACTTGATGGGTTTTGATACACAGATGGCCCATCCCTAGGCTTCAAACAAGGACTAGTGGAACTGTAGGTATCTCCCCAGGGTCTGAGTCTGCCAGCTACCAACTCACAGAACAGCTTCTAAAGTCAATGAATGGTGCTGCTTCTGGTCACTTCATTACGCCATTTGCCTCAAAGTAACAGACCAACTAACATAACCCAGTGACTGAACTAATTTCACAGTATTGTGTGTTATGAAGGAGACCAGTCTTTAACAGGGAGATATTTCAAAGCTGCTATGACAGTTATTTATTTTTAATAGTGGAGGAAGCATGGCTGCACTACGTAAATACATTTAAATATACAGTAATGCAAAAGCTTTTGATGATGGAAAGACTAGTGAAAAGTATTCCCATATATACTACAACATTAGGAAAATGCTAAAGAACATAACAGAAAAAAAATTTTTCCACAACTGAAAAAAAAATTACTTTGAAAAGCTAATTTAATTTTTTTTTTCATAATTAATTACCTATATTTTCAAGAAATACAACATGGGGGACAGAATAATGCTTTTGGAACTGAGTTAGAATTTATCTGTATGCATGAACACAATGAAGCTTATAGTGTAGATACAGTATTTCTGTAGAAAACTTAGCATTGTATTAACAATACCAATCTGAACAGTAAAAGGAACAGCAGACGTTTAAACAGACTACGACACCTTACATATTACAAGACAATTTCCAATAATACGATTGCATTGCCTTTTATAATTACTGATAGTGGTTATTTGCTAACGAGGACTTTTAATTATTTTTTTTTTAAATTTTTGGTAGACTTCCCATTGCTCAGTGAGGCTGACACACAGAAAGTCACTGGAATTAAGGGTCAACTATTACTTGGTTTACAGTTTTTATAGCTTCTGTCAAATTTAAACTTATCCACAGGGAGTATGTAACCCACTGTGAGGAAAAGCTGACAGTGTGAAGAACAGCAGAAGTACTGTATCCATGAGGAGATTTATTAGTCCCTGGCCCTGTAGCACCATCCGTAGTCTTTACCATGTGTATATACACACACAGACCACATCTGTGCACAGTCAGAATGACAGGCAAGGAATACAGAAACAGTCACCATCTGGTATCAGAGGACAGCTGAATAAGTCCATTTTATCTACGAAGTTGTAACAGTGAGAATGGGGGTATGCTTCAGGGGACATAGCAGAGTCTAGTGTGTGTTAAAAAAGCAGAAGTAAAGCAGAAGTTTATGAACCGCAATGGCATTCCCCCCCGCCCCCCCCCCGCCCCCCAGTGTGATGACACTTCCTGAGGATAAAGGTTAATATTTGGGTGAGTTGAATCAGGAACCCAATTTTGAACAGATCAAGCAATTTATTCAGAGAATAAAATAATCTCAGGCTGAAATGTGTGGTGGTTTATTAATATTGACTCATTAGTAGGAAGGATGGAAGTGAGCATCATTAGCAAACAGATGACAAACAAAGGCTTGATATGAGAATTCTTCCATATGAAACGGAAAAATTGTAAAGGATATCTTCTCCCATCAGTGCAGAAACTGCTCCACCCTACCATACCAAAAAGAAAACAAAGGAAATCCTACCAACGTGGAAGGGGAAAAAAAAAATGAGAGGAAGTTTACAAGAAGTTTTGTGCCTTTTTGCTTAGTTTGAGAAGACACTGTAAGAAAAAGATGATTGACAGAACAGTTCTGACTTACGATGACAAAGTTAGCGGTAACCCCAGTGCCAGTAACTAAAATGTAAGCACCAAACTGGAGAATATTTCACCCTTCCTCAAGTTTATCGTTGGTGTTTTAGAGGAAAGGGATACAAGACAAAATAACAGCCAGAAAAAAGAACATATCAAGGTGGCTGCACAAAATAGTTTTGATAACAGCATACAGAAATGTAGTCTAAATTTATGAGAGAGGAAAATTACGAGAATTGAGTAAGGCTCTTCATACTTACAATTGATGTCTACTGGAGGGAAGAAACAACAACTAAACATAACCCCAAGTCAGCTTGCACTTCTCTTCTACAGTTTGAAGACTCATTGAGAAAGTGAAAAACAATTTTTTATTCCAGCTGTGAAGAACAGGATGTATAAGAGTTTTTAGAAGTGTTCTGTTTTAGAGCAGACAAAAAGGAGACTATTTTCAGAAATTTCAGTCTAAGGGAATAACTAAACCAGTTTATTCTCCTAAAGAATACTTTGTGAAATATATGAAATCCCCCCCGCCCCCCCCAAAAATTAGTTTTTGTTGCTCAAGAAGTGGATGGTAAGTACCAATTTCACATACTGACCAGATGTTTCTTACCTAACCACGTATTTGTTAGTCTAATCCTGGAAATTCACCTTGAGATATGTGACTTACGAACCTTAAAACTCTAAACTAACTGATTTCTGTCAAGATAAAGTAAATTCCAAAAAACCCATGGGAAGTTTAGTAATAACCACTTTTTCACAACTTGTGAGGAAATGGCAATGCAGAACAGGGTTTTAGCAGGAAATATTTCAGGTCACTTAGAAATGTTTCTAGATGAACAGAAGTAGAAAAACAAACTGAAATCAAGGTTGCTAAAGGAGGGAGGAGAACAACTTCTCACAAGGTGGGTAGGGGATGTTGCATCTAGAACTGAAGACTAGAGAAGCAAAGATAGCAGAAGACTGTGAAGTGGTGCTTGATGGAGAAATGCTGAAGCCTAGCAGTTTACTACTGTGAAGTTAGGATATTCAGACCAGTGATTTAAAGATGTCATTACGCTGCAAGCTCATTTGAACACAGAATAACTCACGTACAAATCATTTCATGTCGAAATGCACAAAGTACTTCAGCTTTGATTAACTTACCTCCCATAATTTTAGATTGGCAGTTGATAAATTCTGGCTTCTTGTCTGTAAGATATCGCTGACAAGTGTGATGTAGAACCTGAAAAAACGTGCATTTTTCTGAAGCTGTGCTTGCTACCCATTGATCGAAAGCATTTTCAAATAGTAAATCAAATTCCGGGGAATCCTAGAAAAAGAAACCAAACCAAAACACACACTACTATTATTCCAGTTTTATAAATGATTTTGGAAAGAGATATACAGTTATTATTTTTTAAAAGGCATTATGTTCAAAAAAGCAGAAAGGTCATGAAGCTCAAGACCATCCTGGGATTATTTTGCCTGTGCATATTTCTGGCAGGAAGATTCTTTCTTGCAGGTATTTGTAATGAGGAATATTCAGCTATGACAGAAATGCATGAAAACAAAAATACCTTAGGCCAAAAAATTAGAAGTTGGAATCCCAAGAAATCCTTGTTATATACAGATATATAGTCACTTATGTCTTCTACATTACACAAGGATTTACACCTCAGGAAAAAAAAAAAAAAATCTACTTTCACACGATATTATAGAAGATGTGGTTCTGCTCTCGATCCTCAACCAAACAAGGAAAAAAAACAGCAAGTCTTAGGTACTGTATTTAACGTATTATTATAAAGTGTTGCATTGGTCTCAGGACAACATGTACAAAAGAACACTCCCAGAACAAATGAAAGCCCAGCTTTAGACCATGCACCAACTGCCAAAATAAACGGATTTTATGCAAGAAGTATTGCTGTATCTTTAGCAGTATTTGCTAAATATTATTTTGTAATTTAATCTAGTAAATGCTTTTTTTGAATCAACACTAGGAATTTGAAAGGTACACGTCTAAGCCTAAGAACTTGATAGGACTTTCAATCTAGAGAGTATCTCAAGTGTCTTTCTTACATAGATGCATAGCAGATGCTGGGAAAGGGCCTAAACCTCGTGTCCCTTATCTATTTGTCATTGATCTGATTTTCATTGTCCCTCCACCCAGACAAAATATAATTCCACTCCCTGCATTTCACAGGGCAGCAGCCAAAGCGGGTGTTTTTTTTTTTTTTGTACAAAAGACGTTACTGGGTAGTAAGAGAATTTGGTGCTCCATCGTTAAGATGCTTAGGTGGCTGATCAGAGCACAGCTTTGAACAAACCAAGGAGATTAGTCACAAACATATTTTGTGGTACCATGAACACAGTAAGTCACTCTGTGGTCACATAGTATGAGCCACATTCCTAACTTCTAATTCTGCTGTTTTACTACTGAAGATTTGTATTCATAAGCTTATTACATATTAGTACGACTTTGTCTTGAGACAGCTCAAGGCACGTGGTATATTCCAGATTAAAGGAATAATTCAAGAACTATTTAGTGGTTTATTTTATTTTTGGGTTTGTTTTTTTTTTTTGGTTTAAATCAGTATTCACGTGCCATTGGCAACTAAACCACACGACCACCCTTTGTAGAAAAAGATAAGAAATGCAGAAGGATCTGAGGAGAAGACTGTTCTAGAGAAACACAAGGTTCACAATAGTTCACAAACTTGAACCTCAGTAAACTCTCCTGTCCTTGCTTCTACTTAGTGCTCTATCTTACAACACAGTTGCATGCCAAAATGGACCCCAAGAGGCTTATAGCTGAAGAGATGGCAAACAAGGCTTTTATTTTTCTCTTTACAAATAAGAGAGAGAGTAGGAAAAAAAGTAGGAACAGGAAGAAACAACCCCATATGACTATGAGCTTTGGCCTCCTCCCATCTTTCTCATTAAAATCTATTTCACGTATTCCATTGAGTTACTTCTTTTTTGAGAATTTGCACTTAAACTTGTATCTTATCTTTCCAGATGCCTTCTGAATAGTGAAAGAATGCCCAATTCACAAATCAGTTATAAGATAGCTCAATTTTCATTTTCTAGAACTGTTTAAACTCACCCGATTAGGGTCTATACCATTGACCTGGCGAAGCTGCTCGAGCATCCACTGAGTTCTCCTCACAAAAGATGTAGAGCCTTCGAATTGCTTCACCTTCGTAATAGATGCTTGAGGTGGTTTCTTGTTTGTCACTGAACATATAAAAGAAAAAACACGTTACTGATATGTTACATGCTTAGTGTAACATTTCTACTTAATGTTTCAGGAACATGACATTTAGCTCACTGTATCAGTAGCTGGTTTGCTGGTGTATTTTCTACAATGTCCCACAAAGTAAATACATGTCACACTGATTCTGAAAGTGGAACATATTCCCCTTCCTCGATAACATACTGAAAAGCACATTTCTTTATTGCCAGAATGATGGTAAATGCCAAACAAGTATTATACTACTAAAAACTGAATATATTTTAGCCACTATCAGCTTAAGTTGCCAACACCCTATTAAAAAAACAGAACTGAAATGAAGGTCTTTCAATCTGCATTCTTACAATCACCTTACTGTTCTCTTTTCCCCATGCTAATTAGCTGAGGTTTCTCATACCCAGCCTCATTCATTTCTTTCTCTTGTCATTTTAGACAACACAAAAAAAAAAAAAAAACAAACCCCGACATCTCCATGTAAATATAAATCCATTCATGCATCTTTTTAAAAATAATTGTTCCTTTAGACTGACTCGCATGTTGGTTATTGACTGCAAAAAATGTAGGTTTCTCCAGACTTTTCACATGTCACAAATAGGTTACGCTTGTATAACACCACCACTATCTATGACATTCAACTCCCAGTTTCCAGTCAACAGACAAATATATGCACTTACTGCATCAAGAAACCAAACCCACCAAATCAGAGAAGAGTCTGTGAAAAATACAGTTATAAGAATTAAGGAGCTAAAGATCGCTTGACACCTCCACCCGCAAAAAAAGTATGTACCACAAAGACCATAAATAACAATGATCTTACTTGTTATAAACAAAATGTGTTAAAACCCTACAAAGTCAGTCATGCAAGACTGCTCTGCTTTTGAAAAAAAATTAAAAAACCAATATAATACACTCCAATTAGTGTATCCTTAACTCAGTATCAGGTTTTCAAAGAGTACTTAAACATTAAAGCTAACTTTTCAACAGCAGGAAAATTGGCCTTCTGTACTAGACTTTAACCAAATAAATGTTCTTTTCATTGGTTTAACTTTTAACCTCCACAAAAGTTTTATAAATAGTTTTAGGCACTTTCTACACTTGCAAACACATTTCCACTTTCTAGAAAGAAATAATTTTCAGAATCATTGTAGTGCACAATCTACTAAACCTTGTGTGTCATTTATTTTCTTCCTTGAACTCTTTATTTCCAAAAATCCTTTTATCCGTATGGTCCTCTCAAAGTATTATTGGAAAAGTCACTTTTAGGTGCTGGGAGTTAAAGAAGGATTTTAAAATAATCAAGGCTTGAATAGTAAGACTGCTTATTTTTGTGCCCCCTCTTTACCCAAATAATCAGGAAAACTAACAGGCTTCCCACTCTGAATATGCATGCTGCATGCACTTCTGCACTTAGGGGCGCAGTTATATACTAAGTAAACACTGATGTAATACCTTATCATTCTGTAAAGTTAAAGTTAACACTGTTGCTTAGGATGAAAATTTACCAATGCACAGATCACTGTCTTGATGTTAAATGTACTTTGAAATAGATTAGCAAATGCAGATTAATATGCAAAGTTATTTTAAATATCACAGATTTACAAATTTTCAGTTCAGTGAGTGCCTGTGTGTGTGTAAGTCCAAGTACCCTTATGAGAACTTAATGTGATAAAAAGAAAACTCATTTCCAAGGAAGTTTTAGTAGGTAAAAAAATTTTAAAAATCAGATAGTAACATTCCACACGACAGATAACTGTTTTTAAGAAGCTACTTTGGAATAGAAAGCATAGCTGAACTCAATATACTGACTATTGATAAGAATGCAATCAACATTGCCAGCAGTCTCTTCTTTAGCAGCTGAAGCAGTGAGAATCAAATTAGTGCAGTATGCAATTCAGAATCACATATCAAATAGTACAGAACAAAGATAAACAATGTAGTATCAGAAAGTAGCAGCAAAATTAGATCAGAACAACTACTGAAATGCAGAGACTAGCTATTACTAAGAAGCGAGGTTAGTATTAAAGATTCATTCATTGCTCAGTGACCTATGCGCCCAAGCGTAACAATATCAATAAAGCAGAGGTGACAGGTATCTTATCTATACTTACATAGTATATACAGGTTCAGATTTACTGCACTGATATTTACACATCACTGAGCGTGAAACAAATTTATAAGTTACACAAGCAGACCACAAACTTTGTCCCTACCTTCCCTAAATTCACCCTTTCTAATATCTATTCATGATTTTTTGCTAGCTACAGTGATGACTTTGGCAGACTCTATAGCATTCCACTACACCAAGTTTCACATATTTTCTGCAAAGCAGTGCTAACAGAAGGCTATCTAACAGTGGCTCAAGTTTTATGGTCTGTGGATTATTCCTTCCATGCAAAACAGGCAACAATCTACTGCTGAACGAGCCAGGTATTAAAAAGAACAAATTGTGCACACGTAAGCCACATACACAATTAAAACTAGTCGCATTGCAAAACAAAGTGTTCAAAACTTGGAAGTGCCAGACAGAACAATTATGTGATCAAACACTATTTTTCCCCCCTCAGAATCTCATGGATAATCAATTACGAGTTGTATAGCCTTAAACTTTAATACAGCAAGCTTCTCACTGCTCTGAAGGCTTCTAGATGACACACATTCTAGTGCTCTTGAAATACATAATGACTCCTGTTTTCAAGGTGAAAATACTGAATTTACAGATACGATAGTTAAACACTAAATGTCTAATCTCAACATCTCCATAAATTGTTTGGCAGATTTGACATATCCAAAATCTATTTCTCCAAACTTTTCTGTAGAGCACTTTCAATAGTCAATGTACAGCAGCTTTGTCTTCGGCTGGAGCTGTTAGTGCTCTGTGCTTTGGCAAAAGAAGACCACATTAAGCGCCTAAACTTCCACAACTCTTAAAAATGCCTATTAGTGGTCAACTATAAAAACATCTTGATTAGATGACTGTATCATCCACCACACAGCAACTCTGGGAGAGGCCAAGAGGGCTCTTCTACAGAAGAGCTTATAAGGATCTTGGTTATCTCAGTAGTCTTAGTTAGAAATTAAGTCTCAAGTTAGCTGATGTGATCCTATTGGGAAAATGGTAGTTCTCCCTTTAGGTCTCATACTCGTAATTATTGTGCACAGCCAAACAGATCTAGTTGTGTTTCACCTCTTCTGTCTTGGTATTGTAAGAAAAAGCTAGCATTTCTAGAACATTAAAAAAAAAAACCAAAAAAAACCCCAACCAGCTACCCACAAACCCACCAAGCATACTTTAAAACCTTCATTTAAAGTCCATGACAGCTTGGCAGTAGTATGGCAGTCATTAAAACTCTGTGAAACCCTTTGGCAGCTATGAAAACCATCCTCACTAGCTGCTTATTATGTTGCTTTGCAAATGAGTGCACTTCTACACAAGCCACTGAGTGGGTGTTACCTCGCAAACATGTAAAAAGTCTTTTCTTAAATCTGAAAAAAATTGGAAGCAATTACAGGCTCCTTAGCCACATTCCCTCTCTGACAAGTCATTCACATGTGTTAGCTAAAATCTCCCACAATCATTATTCACATTAATAAAATAAAAGACAAAATTTAAGTTACGTTTCAATTTTAGGTGCGGTTTTTTGTTTGCTTTGACTTTTTTTTTCTTTTGTGATACAGAACTTAGCATTATGCCTTCAAAACATGAAGCTGTAGTAGTATGGACAAAGCACATTTATTTGGCGCCCATCAAAAGACAGTAGGCCCATATGGTATTTCTGCATGTAATCGCAAATAAATAAGATTTAATTTTTATTTATTTATTTATTTTTTAAAGGAACATACAATTATTGGCGAAGAAAGAATACGTGGTAAGTCAGCTAGAGCAATTTATCATGGAAGCTATTGTGAGGTTGGTTTTTGATTATTATTATTTTTTTAAACACTAGATTAACACACAACCAAAAGTCTACAAGCCAGAAACAGCATTACTACTTCTGGGATTGAAGACACTAACCATTTTGCATCTGAAATTAAAAAAAGTTACAGTATTACATTTTAAAGAGGTCGTTAAAGTTTGAGAGGCTCTCATTTAAGTGAAATACTCTGTTTCAACAGCAGATCAGAGAATATGAGGTAGAAATACATCAGAATTAGCTTTAGAGAATGCTGTGACAGAGTCAGGAAAGTCACTGTTCTCATCATTTGGAACACATGGAAACAAACATATTCGAATTCCAGACCTCAGCTAGAATCCAGTACCACGTGCATGTCTACCATCTTAAGCAGCGAATCAATAAAGCTCTTCACACAGAAAGCTAAAGGAGACTAAAGTCACAGTCCAACTTCATCTCATCTGCAGTCTAGAATATAGTTTCTTTATTTTTTCAGTCTTCTTAAGTATCTCTACTTGAATAGAAAAGATAAAATAATGAAAAATGGTTAAGCCCTTAAATACCTACCCCAAAATACCTGGCCTTGAGAAACAGTCTGACAGCTCTAAACCACTGCACTATGAACATTTATTTATTTTATCAGATTTGAAATGTATATTTATAAAGCAATGTCTGTCCTTGAAGTCTTGACTCTGGATATCTGTGCTTGTTTTGGCTCTTCTTTAAATTTGGATCTGTGTATTTAATAACTCAAACTCTAGGTAAATAGGAACGTTATGACAAATGGCTTGATTGACTCAAAATTTCTAGTCATATTGCAGTGAATTTCTGAAGTGCCGAATGACTGTTATAACTACTGAAGACAGAAATTAAAAAGTACAAAGTCCTGAGGCAGGCAGTGACTACTGCAACATTTCACATTATAACAGGTTTGGTTTTTTTTTTTTATCTGGGCACTGCACAGACTAATTAAGCAGCCTTAACTTTCATGGCTGTTGTGTCATTAGCTCTTGAGGAAAAAAAAGAAAATAGTGCAAATTAAGTAAGATCACTCAAAAAAATTAGTTTATAAAGTTATTTCATTTGTGAAAGAGACAGATTGAG